AAAGATTCATATGTCCCTTCATGCTTCACCCACTATTACAGAGGACATGCTTCCATGCTGATGACCGGTTCTGCTCGATAACAATCCAAAGCAGTGTAGATCTACACATGTTCATTTTCATCATCTGAGTCAGATGCCACCAACAAGGTTGATTTTCTTTCTTGGTGGTTCGGGTTCTCTAGTTTCCACACCAGACTGTTGCTCTTTTAAGATTTCTGAGAACATGCTCTACACCTTGCCCCTCTCCACTTTTGGAAGGCACTTAAGATACTTAAACCTTGGGTCGAGTGCTGTAGCTACTTTTAGAAATCTCATATCGGTACTGTAGCAAGGCCAAGACTCACCGGTGCAGCGCCTCCCGCTGGTCGTCCTGGGAATTAGCTCTCCAGCCTCCGGAGCGCCCTCTGCAGGCTGGTGTCCCACTTGCCTCAGGCCCCTATGTCCCTCCCAGACCCTGGTGCCCCTTCCCTTGGGGTCCTGCCCTCTGCAGTGCCCCCACAGTCTCTGGGTCTCCCCACCCCAGGGAACCCCCAATCCTCTATCCCCCCCTTGCCTCAGTGGCTACTGCCAGTCATCATCTAGCCCCCATTCCCTGGGGCAGACTGCAGTGTAATGGCCACTCATCGGCAAGTGGGGTTTAGACCTGCTGCCTTTGCCTACCCCTGGGCTGCCTCTCTGCAACCCCAGTACCTTTCCAGGCCTTTAGTAAGCCTGCAGCCTGGGGTTTTTCCAGCCTGGAGCTCCCGAGCTCCTCTGGCCTTTCCCCAGCCCTGCTCCACTCTAGGTACCCTGCTCAGCTCCCAGGCAGCCAGGCCCGTCTCTCTCCACAGCTAGAGAGAGACTGCCTGAGCTCCTGGCTCATAGCCTTTTATAAGGCCAGCTGTGGCCTGATTGGGGCATGGCCCCAGCTGTGGCTGCCTTCCCCATCAACCTAGCCTTTGGCTCCCCTGGGGCAATCCTTTCCCTGGGCTGTTTTAACCCCATCAGGGCCGGAATAGATGACCACCCTGCTACAGGTACCTTCTTTGTGTTTTGTCAAATCTGCAGTGAAAGTGTTCTTTAAACGAACAACGTGCTGGGTCGTCATCCAAGATTGCCATGACATGAAATATATGGCAGAATGCGGGTAAAACTGAGTAGGAGACATGCAATTCTCCCACAAGGAGTTCAGTCACAAATTCAGTTAATGCCTTATTTTTTTTAACGAGCATCATCGGCATGGAAGCATGGCCTCTGGAATCATGGCCAAAGCATGAAGGGGCAAACGAATGTTTAGCATACCTGGCATGTAAATACCTAGCAATGCTGTGGTGCCATGCAAACCCCTGTTCTCATTTTCAGGTGACATTGTAAATAAGAAATGGGCAGCCTTATCTCCTGTTAATGTAAACAAACTTGCTTGTCTTAGTGATTGTCTGAAGAAGAAGTAGGACTGAGTGGACTTGTAAGCTCTGAAGTTTTATATTTTGTTTTTGAGTGCAGTTATGTAACAAAAAAGATCTACATTTGTAAGTTGCGTTTTCATGATAGACATTGCACTACAGTACTTGTATGAGGTGAATTGAAAAATATTATTTCTTTTATCATTTTTACAATGCAAATATTTGTAATAAAAATATAAAGTGAGCACTATACATTTTGTATTCTGTGTTGTAAACTGAAATCAAATATTTGAAAATGTAGAAAAACATCCAAAATATTTAATAAATTTCAATTAATCGTGGTTAATTTTTTAAATTATGATTAATTTTTTAGAGTTAATTGCATGAGTTAACTGCAATTAATTGACTGTCCTACTTGCTATACATTGGTGACCAAAACTGGACACAGTACTCCAGCTCAGGCCTAACCATCACCGAGTAGAGCAATACTGTCGCCTCCTGTGACTTATGTGCTCTGCCTCTGTTACTGCAACCCAAAATTGCATTTGCTTTTGTGTAGCAGCATCACTTGTTGACTCATGTTGAGGTTGTGATCCACCACAACTCCCAGATCCTTTTCAGCAGTGCTGCTGCCAAGCCAGTTGTTCCTCATTCTGTATTTGTGCGTTTTGCTTTTCTTCCCTATGTGTAGCACCTTACATTCGTCTTTGTTGAATCTCATTTGTTGTCCATTGCCCAGTTTTCTAATTTATAAAGAGCCCTTTGAGCCTTAGCTTTATCCTCCAAAGTGTTTGCAATCCCTTCTAGCTTTGTCTCATCTGCAAATGTGATCAGCATGTCTCTATTCTTACATCCAGGTCATTAATAAAGATGTTAAATAATATCAGACCCAGAACAGAACTCTGTGGAATCCCACTTGAGACCTCCCTCCATTCTGACATCATCCCATTAATAGTTACTCTGTTTGCAGTTGTTTAACCCATTATGTATCCATTTAATGGTTGTTCTGCCAAGCCCGCATTTCCCCAGCGTACTTATCAGAATGCCAAGTGTGACTGTGTCTATGAACTTAACACCTGTCCCTTTATTTCCCCCAGTCTCACACACTGTCTTTCAGGGGGGCTGCCCTGCAGACTCAGACGCTGCCCAGGCAGCACGGCAAGGCCATAGGATGGCCTGGTACTCTGGTTCCCCTGAGCAACATCAGCCAGAGCCCCACTGGGATGTGGAAATGGGACTTTCCCCTCCTGCGCTCATTGCCTGGGGAGGTGTGGCTTGGGGAGAGCAGAATCTTTAGCTGGGACCAGGTGATCTGTGCTCATTCTGTGCCTGACACCATACAATGAGGTTTAACTAGAGTCTTGCTCAGTTATAAACAAACTTGTTCCTGCAGAAGCACTTGTTCTTTCTCTTTTCTTGGCCAGCCTTGTGGCTTCCTCAATTGCTTCACTAGCAATGTGTGACTCCGGGCTCAGTGGGGGTTCTCCTGGTTTGACTGTTTGCACAATTGCTGGTGTTTTCTCGGATGAGTGGATCTGGCAGGGGCTCCTGGATGGTAGAATTTATAAGGCACCCTGTTTCTTCCTGCCAAAACATTAACAGCCTTTGGGCTTGCGGGGGTTCTGGTACCAGGGATTGGATTGTGCTTGTCACAAATCTTCTGTTGTTCATGAGATGTGCATAGACTTTTAAAGGAAAAAATCATTGCTAGAAAGTCTGCAGCTGATGTCTCCGATATCTGCAAGTCAGTCAATTAAACCTGGCAGCTAAGCCCAACTGTTACTAGACAGAAACCAAAAAGATAAAAATAGAAAAGAGTCTAGAAGGGGGTGGAAACTGCCCCAAACAGAGGAACTGTCTGAACAGTAGAATCACATCACAACTCAAGAGATGATCAGGACACAGCTATGGGGAGGGTGATATCATTTAGTTCCCGCTCCTCTCCAGAGCGGGTCACATCATCTTTCAGGATGAAAGAGAAACAAAGGCCTCACATTGGGCTTGTCAATCCCTGGGTCCCAGCACATGGCAGCAGTGAACAGGATGGCAAGGCTGTGTGATGGGGGGGGTGTGACAGTGCCCAAAGCCCCCTGCCACACTGAGTGAACTGCCAAGTGTTCCCGAGAAAAGGACTGTCCAAAACCAGAGCCAACCATTTCTCATCAAAAGTGCCCAGTCAAAACATTACCTGCATTAGAGAGGAACATTGGCTAGTGGCTGGTCTCCCTTAGAGGTTAATGAGCAGACTACAGCTCGTTGGTAAAGGAGATAATCCTTTAGCTCAAGTAGTAAAGGCTCATGCAGACAGTGCAAAATTCAAACCCTGTGGACAGCCAGAGGGATTCCTACTTCCAAACAATTTTCCCAGGGCCACTTCCTTCTCAGTGTGGGAAGACCCTGCTCTGCTGCTCTAACACTTGGGTCTCCTCACCAGAAGCCTTAAAAGGCCCTGCTCAGCCATTCCATCACGCCACGCAAAGCTGCTCCCCCCAGTTCTTTAACTCCACTCGGTGGTTCTCTCCCGACATGTTTCTAAGTTATCATGACATTCCCGCCACCCTTCACCTGCTTCAAACAATTCAGCCAAGGGGAGACCGCAACCCAACAGCGCCCAGCGATTCATAGAAAAGCAGCAACAGGAATTACACACCATGAGAAATAACACAGCTCCCTGAGTTTGTCAGCACTACAGGCGTCATGGCTGGCAGCTCCCAGGCTTCAAGCTGTAGAATCTGGTTCAGCTAATTACTCACATACCCCCCTGCGTGAACCATTTCATTCCCATGGATTGTTTAGCAGCATTTTAAGCCAAGGCCCATTGCACAGGCCTCTGGGTGCAAACACAAATCAGTAACAAACTGCTCCAAACCAACAGCAGCAGAAAATCAGCCGAGTGCAGCGCTTCTTGGGCACATGGCCCTATTCCAAAGGCCTCAGAAACACTCATCCCAACCCATCACATAGGTACTGAGAGTCTCCCATACAGCCCTGCCTGGCTAACCTGATGGGCCTGCACTGACCAGCAGCAACCTCAGACAGTAATAAACTGACAAGGAAGAAAGTTCCAGTGACCCCATTGCTCCCAGGTCAATTCCATCCCCCCGCCCCCAGGATTTCCCCAGCATCTGGGCTGCTGCAAGGCTGGCTCTGCCATGGATGGCGTTGCCTCTTGTCCTGTGGAGAGCTTGGCACAAAGGGGCCACTGGGCAACGATGAACTGGGCCCAACAATGCCTGGCTCTCTGCTAGCCATTAAATGCTCCGCTTTAGTAACTCAGCAAGGAAATACCAAGCCGATGGGTCTGTGCCCCGCACCTAGGGAAAACTGCTGCTTGAAATGCTTCAGGATCATGCTAATGTCAGGCAGGTGCAGAAAGGGCCAAAGGGCGTAGGCCAGGCTGCTGTGGAGTAATGTAAAACCTCCCCTTGCAGCATGGCAGGGCTTTGTTTTTTGTTTTTTTCCCCAAGAATGGTCAGGACAGACATGTGAACCTGATTGTGGAATGAACAAGGAAAGGGCAGAATGCTGGCAGGCCCCCAAGCACTCCCCCCTCCCCCCAACCCCACCCCTGGGAGAGTTTAAATCACAGCTGGCTCAGCTCAGGGCATTCAGACCCAGCTCTCCGACAGCACCATGAAGTCAGTGGGCATCCTCCTCCTCCTCATGGGGCTCCTGACCCTCTGGACGGAGCTGCCAGCGGCCACTGAGCAGAAGCAAGGTTAGTACAGAGCATGGCTGTCTCCAGGCCTGGCTCGGGGCAGAGGGCAGCAGGCTGCATCCCACTGGAAAGCAGAGAGCAGGGGCTCCACAGGGGTCCTTATACTGTGACCCCTCCAGGGCAGCAGCTGAAGATGTCCTATTTAGAAACTTACTTGGCAATGCTTTGCCTTATTTGCAGCCTTTGTGCCCAAAACATTGGGGCCTGATCTGCCAATCAGGCTTAAGCACAGATTTTAACGCTTTGATGGCTGCACCCAATGTTCTGGGTTCACAATTGCTTTTTAGACCAAGGAAAGGAGCAGCCCCTTGTTTTTGCTCCGACCCCTGAGCCCTGCTCAATCCATGGGGTAGATATGAAAACTCCCTGTTCTGTGGCATTTAGTCTAAACCAACAGTGGTGGATGGTGTCTAACTAACTCCCCTGGGTAACAAGGGTCTGGAATTCAATGTGTCCATGGGCTTACCCATCCCTGCCTGAACTCATTTCTCTCCCAATCTTGGTTTTCCAGTAAGGAAGGGGAGGAATTATTTTGTTAACTAAACTAGTTCTCCCAGAAATCTTTCCCCATCTGTCGGTCTCCTCTGTGTCTCTATCGAACAATGCCAAGGTACCATGATGAGAGGCACTATAGAAAAGCTTAAGACAGATACACATTGTGATAGTTATATTGTGCTCCTCACCTTCATATCTGAGCACATAATAAATTGGCTTGGCAGATTTCAATTTTCTTTTTGTATAATTTTGACGGATAACATTGATGTTTATTTTTAAGTATTATTTTCAATTTGTATCTATTTATATTTTCACAGTTGTAGAAAATTAAGGGTGGTTCAGCCAATAATTATTTCATGAGAATAGACACTGAGAGTGAAAAAATTAAAGCCTTATAACCATTAAAACACAAATTGTCAACATCACATGTCAAAATATCCAAAGTGAATATCCCTAAGTCAAACTCTAATCAGCTCTCAAGCTCTCATTTTTCTGACTTTGCCCATCTGTACATTTTGATTATTATTGATGAAAATATTTGTGGTGGTTTGTGTGTGTGCAGTGAAATCAACGTTTATCGACATTTACCGATAAAACACGAATCCTCCAACTCTGCTAATAAACACACCTAAATCCAAACAGACTTTCTACATATAGACCGAGATAGGTCATTGGTTTTGTTCTGAGGCCGCAGGGATTGTGGCCATGCATTAGCTCTTGTGGGAGGGGACTCTACTGCCATGAGCTGGCTCCCCACACTTACTAGTCTCAGCTTTATTGATGAAAATCATCCCTGAGGATTGACTGCAGCTTGTGCGTTAGCTTTTGGCCATGGAAGGAGAGATGGTATCTGAGAGAGCTCAGTCCATCAAGAGCCTTGAAAAATCAAGACCAGGACCTCAGACTAGGTACAGTGCCTGGTGGACAGCTAGTGTAGTGATTGCAGCCGTGGACAGAGGAGCACTCACATTCCCATCTCTGTTCTGCTCCATCACAAAGGACCTGGCTCACAACAGCCCTCCCTGTCACTCCTGCAGATTGAAAACAGCAGCATCCAGAGTTAGGCAGCATAGCCCTATGTCCTGACTAGTAACTTTTGTTCAAGTCTTGAATTCTGATCCTCACAGGACAGTGAAGGACATTGCCTCTAGCCTGCTAGGTCAGTAGTTCTCAACCAGAGGTCCGGGCCCCCCTTAGGGGAGCTTGAGCAGGTTTCAGGGGGGCCTCCAAGCAGGACCAGCATTAGACCCGCTGGGGCCAAGGGCAGAAAGTCAAAGTCCCACTGCATGGTGCTGAAGCCCAGGTCCCTGAGCCCCACCACCCGGGGCTGAAGATGAAGCGTGAGCAATGTAGCTTCATGGGGGCCCCTGTGGTGTGGGGCCCTAGGCAATTGCCCTGCTTGCTACCCCCTAACGCCAGCGCTGGCTTTTGTATGCAGAAAACCAGTTATTGTGACACAGCTGGGCCGTGGAGTTTATGTAGCATGTTGAGGGGGGCCTCAGAAAGAAAAAGTTTGACACTGCAGGGTGGATTTCAATCAACAATCCCTGCAGCCAATAGCACAATGTTCATACTGTGGCTGTTGTCTGTTACAGCAAGAGCTGGAACCTGCCCGCTGGATTACATAAGGTGCGTTCAGGCAGAAACTGATGAGTGTGCCACCGATTCTGACTGCAAAGAGCGGGAGAAGTGCTGTTATTGCCATTGTGCCATGCGCTGCGTGGAACCAGCAGAAGGTAAGTGAGAATGCTCACACTGACATCTAGGGTCTCGTGCAGGGGAAGTCTCTCCCCGATCCTGATGAGCCAGGCTTGTCTGCAGGATATGGATCTTGGGCAGGCACCTTTGGGGATTTCAACAGACAGAAAAACTAAGTGGACTCAGAGTAGGAATTCCACCAGGTGACAGCTTGTCACCCTATCCAGAGGGCTTGGTGAGAACCAGACACTGAGTGAGAGGAGCAGTGTGGGTTGAGTAGGGTTATGAGTTTGTGGGTGGTGTAGAACTAAATAACTTCCCCTGGTACCTGGATGCTGGGGTTAAATGTGTGTACAGGGGGATGAATCCAGTCCTCCCTGGGCTCATCGTTCTCCAGTCCCCTCATCTCCAGGTGGCAGGTCTCCACTCACAGGACCACTCAGCACTCAGATGCCCTATTCTGGGCTTCATCTGAGCTCAGCACAGCTCGTTGGATGAGGAGGATCGGGTGGATCGCTCCCACCTTAGTCCCTCCTGAATTTTAAAGGCAGAGGAGTTGACCCAGCATATGCAAGAGTGGCCCATCAGGTGCCATCTGTCAGCAGCACAGGGAAGCCAAGAATAGCACTCAATTCACCTGTCCCTTCTCCAGCCACACCTAGGCCAGCAGCTGTGAAGAGGGCTGGCATAAAGTCATTCCACTGGCTTTGTATCAGAGAAGATACTGCCCAGTGGGGAGAGCACTGGGTTCGTGGCCCCCATACACCCACAGACCTGGCACAGACGGCCTTCAGTGAGGCCAGAACAAAGGCCAGGCTGTTTTATCAGAGAGTTACCAAGTAACAAGGAGCATTACCAAGCACAGTACTCTACTATGGCAAATATGATGGCCTCTCCTGTGCACCCATCCAGCAGGACAGAGAGTGCATGATGGAGAGATACATAAGGTCAGCTAGGGGGCACCACCTATTGATGTTCAGTGAACCAGGGATGCTTTTTATACACCATTAATTTCTTCTGCTGCAGAGACTCCTGGGACTTGTCCAGCCGTCACTGTAGTTTGTCCCATGGTTGATCCTCCTAACCGCTGTGAAAAGGACAGCAAGTGTCCAGAAAACCGGAAGTGCTGTGACACCGGCTGTGGGAAAGATTGTGTTTGGCCTCAGAATGGTACCCATCTCTCCTAACGCATCAGTCATGTGAATACAGCTCTGCGGTGAGATCACACCCTGCTCCAGCTTGCCCATGGAAAGGGAACTACAGCTCTGGGCTGCAGACACAGAGCACTGCACTGACCAGAGAGCATGCCCAGGCTCAGAACATGCTGCTTTAGCTGTGAGGGACTTGTGCCCTTGCCTTCCCGGCTTCCCCAGCACTCGTCCCGCTGGGACGCTGGGGTTAAGCTGATGCTAAACCTGAACCTGATTAGATTTCAAATCCAATGGCCTCTTAGACACCCCCTTTTTACCCTAACCCCATATAGAGGCCAGCTGGGAGGAGGCAGCAGAGCTGGTAGTGCGAGACACAAGGAGAAGGAGGCCAGCATGAGAGCGGGGGCTGGGGGGCCCTGCCAGGAGGGGAAGGGAGAAGATCCTCTCCCACTGTGAATTCTGTAATAGTGGGATCCTGAGGACGCATGCAGCAGACTTGGCTTGTGAGCAGGGCTCATTCGTTATAAGCTCAGCTCTCCAGCACATACATAATCAGGTCCAGCCAGCCAGACCGCCTGGGCCCAGCGCCTAGGCTGTCACCTGCCATGGACATTACAGAGGCTATCAGGGTATGGCTGACCCTAATGGGTTGCACTGAGAACGTGCTCATCCTTATACAAGACACAGTCCTGTGCAGCACAGAGCCGAGGAGAGCCTTGTAACCCAAGCCAGGCCAGTAGCTGGGCCCTCCTGGTTTTCTGCAAAGCCTGGCCAAGGGCAGCTCAGTTTGTACAGCGCAAGATTTCCTCATGGTGCATCTGATCACTTTTTATTTTTCCAGCATAACTCTCTGCTTCTTGGATAGGCCGAGGGCATCCCGAGGACAGCACTGACCCAGATCCCTGTGTCCTGGACTCTCCAGATCCCTGCACACCTTATACTGGGGCCCGAATGGAGCCTCTGGCATGATTACAAATAAACTTGTTTGTGCCTCAGCTTTGCCATTGGGTATTCCTGAGTCTCACTGTCTCTCCTTCAGTTCTCTGTTGAACAGTCTATTAATAATGAGTTAAGGAACGGCAGGAGCCAGGGGTGGGAGGCCAGGAGGTACATCAGGAAGTGAACGTAGTTGATTATTTAAGCTCCGGAGGCAGATATTGTAGAAATGGGGCCAAATGATCTCGTTACTGCCAAAAAAAAATTTTCTGACAGTATTGTTAGGCAGATCTCGCAAGGGGTATGAGGTAGGAGCTTTGCCTGAGATGTTAACAGTCCTTCTCAAAACGTCTTTTAGTACCAAATGTAACCCTTCTGCCAGGCCAAGTTGATAGCAGCAAGGGCCGGGTTCAGTACACAAAAAGAAAAGGAGTACTTGTGGCACCTTAGAGACTAACCAATTTATTTGAGCATGAGCTTTCGTGAGCGTCACGAAAGCTCATGCTCAAATAAATTGGTTAGTCTCTAAGGTGCCACAAGTACTCCTTTTCTTTTTGCGAATACAGACTAACACGGCTGTTACTCTGAAACCGTTCAGTACACAGGGGTTCCCTCTCATCAAAGCAAATGCAAAACTGGCTCGAGCCCCCACCCAGTGACCTGCGAAAATCTTACACACCCCCTGGGTGCCTCAAAGAGGCAATACTTCCCCTCTCGCAAGCACAGAGTCTCGGTGTAGCAGAGAATCTTTAATAACATGAGGTAAAAGACATCAGCATTAAATTGGGGAAACACCACAACTAGTGTTCATTAACCAAAGCATGAGCAAAGACCCACCCCAGAAAATTGGGCCACATCCTTTCCCTCGAATTCTTGAGTCCCAGAACCCAAACGTCTCTTGAGTCCAGCAATCCACAAATCACCCAAAGTTCAAAAAGTCCAGCCCCAGAGTTCAAAAGTTCATCTGCAGAGTGTTGCTCCCCAGTCTGGCTAAAATGTGCCTGTGTGTGGGGGGGGAAGAGGTAAGGGGCACCTTACGTGTCCTGAAGCTGACTGCCCCACAGGGCTCTGCACTGCTCCGCTGTCTCACGAACGGCTCCGCTCCACCACGACTGGCTCCGCTCTGCACAGCTTGCTGTCTCACGAACAGCTCTGCTCAGCTCGGCTGAGCGTCTCACGAACACGCCGCTGTCTCACAAACAGCTCCGCCCTGCACAGCTCGCCTCGCTGTCTCACGAACACTCTGCCAGCCTATCCACGAACAGCACCACTGCACTCTAGTTCTTCTGGCTTCCCACTACTTGACACAGTGCTCAGTGATTCCAGCTCATAGTAGTGGGAGCCTTAGTGCTGGTGTACCATAAGGCCAAAGTGAATTCAGTACAGTACCTGTAGCAAGACTCTTAATAGACCCAAAATTAGCTTTGACATTCCAGAGTGGAGAGAGACAGAAGTGTAATTGGTGTTTCAGGCCCTCACAAAGGGGCCCATACCACCAGGTACAAATACCTGTCTCAAGCCTCTCTCCATTCACAGAGTTTTGGAACCCATGTCCCTTGCCTAGCGAGTGCTACTTAGTTGATGGTGAGTCCCTCCATCATAACAAAAGGCCAAGTACAGTTCCAAGCACAGTTCTCATAATCAGGGTAATAACAATTTATTCTTCCCACCCCAATAACAGAGACACTGGGGATCCCACAACAGCCAAAGTGACCATTTGGGCAGTTATGGCCTCATTCTAGGCGGGGTGGGTGTGCCTATGCAAATGAGATCAGCCCCTGAAGTTCTTTTCCACAACTTGCCACACCTCACCACCAGATGTCAGGGTGGAGCTCATCCTGACTCTGCTTACACAAAGATACATAAGGCCCCATTCAAAATCTAGGATCCACCAAACACAAAGCCCATTGAACTGAGAGCTGTATCGCTTGTCCCATATTTCCAAAAATGAATGCAAAATGAAACAGACACACCACGCACACACAGCAAACTCCCTCAGCTCGCAGCTAGAAAGCAGGTCAAGGAGGCATCCAGCCATCTCTCTCTCTCTCTTGCAGGGAACTTCACAGAAGAAGCAGATTTTCTTCCTGCAGTTCACAGAAGACTTAAACAACTGGGATGCTTGGCTGTGCCCTCTGGAATGGAGGTCTATGTGCTGACTTTCCCCCTATGTTCATAACTTTCCTCATTCCCACAGGTTAAACTCTGAATTGTGCGTAGTCTGCAAAAGTCCAACTCCTGTTGTGCCCAGGGGCCTGTGGGAGCTGGAGCCCTGCACAATCCACAGTCACATATTGGCTTTTCTTCAGATTTCCTTTGCTCTGCAGAATCCTCCTTGAACCCTCCCACGATAACAAAGGGTTGAAAATTCTCCTGAGATTGACCCCTCAGCCCGGCGCAGATAGACAGGTTGCACAGACACATTTGCTACCCGCACAAGTCAGTCCCTGCTAGGTCCAAGAACCCATCTGACCTCCCCTGGGATTTAATGAAATGTGTGGGAAGTTTCACCTTAAGACAAACACATACAGAGCAGGAGTGAGAAAAGAAAAGCAAAAGAGGAGGAAAATGCAGCTTCTGTCTGATGGCTGCTGGTCAGTTGCTGGAAGACCATGGCACATGAGGCAGTTAAGCACTCCCATGCACTGACCCCACTTGGAAAATGTGTGGCTAAAGCTTATTGTTTTCCTCTGGCCAGTCTGTGCTGGTAAAGTTTTTATTAAGACCCGGCCGCTCGGTATGGCGGATAGCCGGCTAAACTCGTCGCAGCAGAATGTTGCAAGGCTAGATTTGTCCTAGTGACTCAGCCAGGCATGTATTAGGCAGAAGGCTAAAAGGGAGAGACAGAGAGGAGTCAAGAGGAACAAGGTGAACTTGTAGCTGTCATGCCAGGGAGGGAGGAATAGGAAACACCTTTGTTCACACTTCACGAGCTGCTCAGGATACAGCCAGGGAGATGGTGAGGTCATTTGGCTCCTCCTCCTCAGCTGGTCTGCGGAGGGCACCTTTTAGACTCAGGAGAAAGGAGGCAGTTCAGGCCCTGGGTCTCAGCCTGATGGTGATACTGGTTGATGTGGAGAGGTTGATGCTACCCGGAGCCACCTGCTATTCCTCTCATAGGCTGAATAAATTACCAAGTGCTCCTCCAAAAGAAATGACCAGAAAACATGGCCACTTTGTGCCATGAAAAGTGCCCAGTGAAAACTATTTTCTAGTAGCCCAGATATGGTCACGTCCTCTCATCTTGAGAAGAGTCTGCTCTGCTGTTCTAACAATTAGGGAACCTCACCGGATGCCTTCAAAGGCCCTGCTCAGCCATTCTATCATCCACGCACGCTCCGCTCACACCAGTTCTTTAACTCCACTCTGAAGTTTCTTTCCTGACATGCTTATAGGTCACATTGATGCCTCGTTGCCTTTCACCTGCTTTGGACAATTAGAAATTTCAGCCAAGGGAAGAGCTCAACCCAACAGCTCCCAGCTATTCATAAAAGCAGCAGCGCAAATTAAAGACTGTGAGAAATAAAATGTCACACTGACGCTGGCAGCGCTGCAAACATCATGGCTGAGAGCTCTTGGAGCTGAAGCTTCCAATGCGATGTGTAGAGGGACGAATGAGTCTTTAAGTCACCTTGCCGCTCCTTTGACTTTGGGGTTGACACAGCCTCTGGCAGAACTGAAAACAGCTGAAGAGCTGCTCTACGTTGTGTCAACCAGAAATCACTCTGCCAACCAAGGCTCAGCTGGAGTGCAGTGTTCTGCTCCCACCTTCTTCCAGCCAGCTCTGAAACTGTCCCTCCCCACCCCCTATGCAGAGGCTGGCGGAGTGGATGGCAAGGGCTGACTACCTGGCGAGGGCTGAATGCCACCTCTGGATTCTTCTCCATTGGGGGGAGCCTCAGCTGCCCCTTTTGGGCAGCTTGCTGGCTGCTTTGCTCTGCCTCAATAGCTCTAAGTAGCTGGAACAAGGGCCAAGGATTTGGCTCCCAGTCCTTGAGCTATAAGACTTGCTAAAGCTAATGACTAACACGCCCCATGGGAAATCCATTCATTTTCACATCCCAGTGTCATCTCTCTTCACTAGCAAATGCTCAGCTTGATTACGATCGTCAAGGGACATACAGCAGAGAAGCACTGAGTAAGGTGTCATCAGCAAACCACGTAAGCGCTCAGTTTTAGAGATGGAATCATTTCTGTTACCATTACACTGCATACCCATCAGCTCGGCTGGTTGAGTCAGTTGTCCAGCTGCTACCAGGATGACTTTGCTACATTCATTAAAATATGAACAAGGCAAAGCAGGGTCTAAAGAAGGCTGCATTTTACTCCCTATGCCTGCAAGAATTTTATAAAACAATTTAAAGTGTGGTCCTGATTCTTCATGGCATTACACCAATTTTACACTGTTATGGTTTGCTCACTTCATTGGAATCACACCAGGGTAACATAGCGGAGAATCATGCCCAGTAGATTGTATTGTATTTTGAGAGATCAGTGAAGTAATTCATTATTAAAACATTTGTTCTACCACTGTCCACCTGCATAGGAGTCTGATCAAGCAACTGGTCCTTCACATTGCACCAACAGGTAGGTGTAGAAGAACATAGACTTTTTTGATGCTCTTAATCAGAGGGAAGCCACATCTGGTCCATTTCCCAATGTATCAGAGTATTTCGTAAAGCTCTCACAGCTTTGCCTTCTAATTTCTCCCTATCTGTCCTCTTGATGATAAGCAGGTTGTTCCCTCCCGGGAGAGCATGGCTTGGTTCTTTAGGGAGAGGGAGAGAAGATGTTATGCTGTTCCTTTCTCACAGGTTTTATTTGTATGTTAGTTAATTGGCAACAAGCAGGAGTTTGCAAAGGTGAAAATGTCCATGGCTCTCTCTGACACTGTTTCCTCTTCAGTAGTTGAGTTGGCATCTTCTGCATAGGAACACAGGGATGTCAGGATTGCCATAGCATAGGCCATCAGTGCTCCATCCATCCACTGTTCTCTCTCTGAGCAGGTGTAAGAAATGTCCATGTTGGACAACCATGGAATAAATGTGACCACCTTGTAGCTCTATCTACCTACATACTTATCCAGCCCCATCACCACAGAATCTGAAGCTGCATCTCACCATCTTTAGAGTCTGTCTACACTAGGAGCTGGGGCTGTGATTCTGCACTTCACACAGACATCCTGGCACGAGCTCTCTTCACGCTAGTAGTGTACCTAGAGTGGCACACGCTGGGGCAAGCAGCAGGACAGGCTAACTGTGCCAACTAGGTACCCACGGGTTTCTGGCGGGTTTGCACTCAGCACGGCTAGCTGGTGTCACCATTTGCTGCTGCCTGTGCTGCCATGACTACACTGTTATTGAGATGAGAACTGGATGAGAGCTCGGGTGGGACATATATCCAGGCAGGGGAATCAGACCCCTGGTGTAGACACACCTTTAATGTATTTGCCCTCGCAACACCCCTGTGAGGCAGCAAAGTGCTATTATTCCCATTTTACAGAAGAGGAACGGAAGCAGAGAGACTCAGGACCAGATTTTCAGAGGTATTTAGGCAGATGCAGATAGTAGCCTCGGGGTATTTTCAAAAGTACCTATGCACCCGACTCCCGTTGATTCCCTCTGAAGAAGATGCCAACTCTGCTGCTGAGCATGAGACAATGTCAGAAGGAACCCTAAAGATTTTTATTTCAATGGGAGTTTGATGTCTAATTGTTTGAAGAACCCTATTAGTCACCTATCTGCATCTTCAGTCACCTAAATACCTTTGAAAATCTGACTTTATGTGATTTGCCCAAGGTCAGACAGAAAGAGCAAGATAGAGTTGAACCCAGGTCTCCCAAATCTTCAGCGTACACCCTGATCTAAGGGAAGCCACTGTTCCTGCCCATTCAGTGGCTCCCCCAGGTTTGGCATGAAGTTGTGTCAAGGCAATTATCACAGCTCCACGAAGGGCAATGCTGAACTCAAAAGTCTTGGAGTGAATTGCTGTTCATCATCTGTATTTCAAATGGTTTGTGAATCAACTTGTAAAAGAGCAGAGTGTGATCTATGCAGGCTGGATAGACCAGGTCGCAAGTCTGTCAGCTCACTTCTGGGTTAAACCTATTGCTTTAAACTCCTTGAATACGTGTGCCTTTGGGAGCAGAGGGGAGGTGGCGTGCCGACAGGTGGAGGCCATTATCACAGCCTGCTGCTAAGTAATATGGGCAACTCCCTATTTCTGCCAGGGGCAAAACCTCTCTGAAACTAGGCAGCTACTTTGTTCTTGCCCAAGAAGGGGTGAGGCAGATACGTGCACCGACTCGTGAAATGGAAGGGAAGGAAGGTCGGGATGTTGAAAGGAACCCAAATGCCCCCCTCCTTCCCAGCCCCACCCATCGGAGAGCTTAAATCCCAGCCTGGCTCAGCTATGGGCATTCACACCTCGCTCCCAACAGCACCATGAAGTCAGTGGGCATCTTCCTCCCCGTGGGGGTCCTCACCCTCTGGATGGTGCTGCCGTCTTGGTCTGGCACAATCTTACCCGTGCAAAAAATCCCCAGAGGTAAGTGCTGAAAACAGCTTCAGCCCAAGGGGCAGCGGGCAGCAGGCTCCTGTCCCATGGGAGGGCAGAGAGCAGGGGACTCTTCAGGCTGTAGTGAGTGGTCCCCTCCCCAGACAGAACTAACAGGGCTGCTCTCTTTACTGACACTCAGCACCCCACATTCTGGGATCACAACTGCTCCTGCATCAGGGAGAGGAAATGTCCTTGTGCCCTGATATGAGCCCAAAGGCCACCTCACTAGCAGGCTCTGTTCAGGATTTTATACCATTCAGATACTGAGCCTGAGAAGGCACAGAGACCACGGAGTGGGGGTCGATGCAGTAGGTGCCGAAGTTGCAGTTTCTCCATGCGGATTTCATTAGATCGGTTCGGTCTGAGCCTGCTCGGCCACTCAGGGTTTCGTTGGGGAAAGGTTCACAGCCAGACACCCCAATGCATTTGAGTGTAGACTCAGTCAAATCCCCACCTGATGTACAGTCAAGTCGACAGAGCTACACTGGTTTGCCCCAGCTAAGGCGCTGGCCCGACTTTTATTGAGCAATGCAGCAAACTCCCGTTTTGAGTGGTCGGGACTTGCAGGCTCTGAGGAGTTGCACCCAGAGCAGCACAGGCCATTCTCGTGAGAAAGAGCAGACGAGCCCCCTCCAGGCTGGGAATTAAACGTGGAATTAAACACCACGGCTGGGTGGCAGAGGTCTGGAATTACAGTGTCCGGAGGATTTGCCTAGAGACCTGCCTGGGTCCTTTCCCTCCCTAATTCTCATTTCCAGATAGTGAGGCTTCAGTCACTCACGCCTCAGCAACAGGGGGCCGATTCCCCCTGCCATGCCCCTTTTCTAGCCTCCTGCTCCTTCTGTCCATGTCGACATGGCAGCATTTTACACCTGCCTTGCAGAGCTGTGAATGACACATGGGGTGCCCAGCAGGGAAGGATTAGGCCCAGGATAATTCTGTAGAGGCCTTTCAATCGACAGCAGAATTTCACAGAGTCCAGACTGGTCCTACCGCAGTCTGCACTCTGCGAGATAGCAGGTGCCTCTCACTGGAGCTCAGCATGCTGCCCGGCATTACAAGGTGGTGTTTATACCATGCATGTCTTTCTTGCAGTGAAACCTGGGACCTGCCCAGTGGTTCCTTTCAGGTGCAAGATGCACAATCCCCCTAATCGTTGTCAATCAGACAGCCAGTGTCCGGGGCCAGAGAAGTGCTGTGACACCGGCTGTGGATTGGGCTGTGTTCTAACTCAGCAAGGTACCTGCCTCATTGTTTATAGCCTGTGGGTAAAAGGGGGGTTTCCGCAAGGAGTTCTCACCCTGTCCCTGAGCTGAGCCACGGACAGTATTTCACCTTTAGCAAGAACAGATCTTTGTGCCGAAAGCTTACTTTGTTGCCTTGTAACACAGGATTTGTTTGTTAGTTACAGAGAAACCTGGGATCTGTCCATTGATCACGAGTACATGTCGCATGATAAATCCTCCTGATAAGTGTAAGGAAGACCGTGACTGCCCCGGCCCCATGAAGTGCTGCATGTCCATCTGTGGGAAGGAGTGCATTCAGCCCAACCAAGGTACCACACTGGGCCAGTTTTTCTAATTCTTCTACCATGCTTTGCGGTAAGATCATTCCCTGTTCCAACCCATGGGGGGCGAAGGGGGGAGGGGAAGCTTGTCCAAGCAGGCCTTTCATGCATCCCTCACTTCAAGGGATGCCAGTTATTTTTAGTCCCAATGTTACCTTCATTCCACACAAATGGGGCATTCCTTTGCCTAATAGCAGGTGCCTCTCACTGGAGCTCAGCATGCTGCCCGGCATTACAAGGTGGTATTTATACCATGCATGTCTTTCTTGCAGTGAAATCTGGGACCTGCCCAGTGGTTCCTTTCAGGTGCCACATGTTGAATCCCCCTAATCGTTGTCTGTCAGACAGCCAGTGTCCGGGGCCAGAGAAGTGCTGTGATACCGGCTGTGGATTGGGCTGTGTTCTAACTCAGCAAGGTACCTGCCTCATTGTTTATAGCCTGTGGGCCTGGTTCCCCAGGGAGCTTTCACCCTGTCCCTGCTGAGCCAGGGACAGTATTTCAGCTTTAGCAAGAACAGATCTTTGTGCCGAAAGCTTAGTTTGTTACCTTGTAACACAGGATTTGTTTGTTAGTTACAGAGAAACCTGGGATCTGTCCATTGATCACGAGTACATGTCACATGATAAATCCTCCTGATAAGTGTAAGGAAGACCGTGACTGCCCCGGCCCCATGAAGTGCTGCATGTCCATCTGTGGGAAGGAGTGCATTCAGCCCAACCAAGGTACCACACTGGGCCAGTTTTTCTAATTCTTCTACCATGCTTTGCGGTAAGATCATTCCCTGTTCCAACCCATGGGGAGCGAAGGGGAGAGGGGAAGCTTGTCCAAGCAGGCCTTTCATGCATCCCTCACTTCAAGGGATGCCAGTTATTTTTAGTCCCAATGTTACCTTCATTCCACACAAATGGGGCATTCCTTTGCCTAATAGCAGGTGCCTCTCACTGGAGCTCAGCATGCTGCCCGGCATTACAAGGTGGTGTTTATACCATGCATGTCTTTCTTGCAGTGAAACCAGGGACCTGCCCAGTGGTTCCTTTCAGGTGCCACATGTTGAATCCCCCTAATCGTTGTCTGTCAGACAGCCAGTGTCCGGGGCCAGAGAAGTGCTGTGATACCGGCTGTGGATTGGGCTGTGTTCTAACTCAGCAAGGTACCTGCCTCATTGTTTATAGCCTGTGGGTCTGGTTCCCCAGGGAGCTCTCCCCCTGTCCCTGAGCTGAGCCGGGGACAGTATTTCAGCCTTTAGCAGGCAGAGATCTTCCTGCCAGGGACTTAGTATGATACAGTGAAACCTAGGACCTGCCCAGTGATCGAGAAGACCTGTCTCAGGGTAGTTCCTCCTAATGAGTGTGTGATTAGGCTCCTGAGTGCCCCAGCACTACAAAGTGCTGCATGTCCACCTGTACAAAGGCTTGCCTTCCGCCCAACCAAGGAACCCCGCTGGGCCAGTATTTCCAAACTTATCACCTTGCTTTGCAGTGAGATCATCACTCCCTGTCCTAGCTCATCGGGGGCGGGGACGGCAGGAGTGTGCTGTGTGACCCAAGCAGGCATCTCCCACCTCCCTCACTTTGACAGGTGCCACTCATTTTAGTCCCAATGGTACCTGCCTTTCCCACAAACGTGGCATCCCTGCTCCTTGTTGTTGAAAGTTATTTGCAATGAGGAGTGATGGCACGGGGGTTACAGAGAGAGTCACTGGCATTAAGGGGATGAATCCCACAGAACTGTAGCTGTCCTGCAGGAATCATTTGCATCTGTCCATGCTTTTAGGTCTTGGCAAGATGAGAGATACAAGGGAATTGGAGCTGAGCACTCAGCAGGCAGAGATCCGTGCCTGGGGCCTGGCTATTATCCTGTTATAGAAGTTTGTTTATCCTGCCATCTCCTCTCTTGCAGCCAAAGCTGGGACTTGCCCAGTGGTTACTGCACAGTGCCTTATAATAAATCCTCCCAACCATTGTGATCATGACCACCAATGTCCTGGCCCAAAGAAATGCTGTGAAACTAGCTGTGGGAGAGATTGCATCCTGATTCAGAGAGGTACTGGTCTCAGTGTAACTGAGTCATAGAATCATAGAATCATAGAATATCAGGGTTGGAAGGGACCCCAGAAGGTCATCTAGTCCAACCCCCTGCTCGAAGCAGGACCAATTCCCAGTTAAATCATTCCAGCCAGGGCTTTATCAAGCCTGACCTTAAAAACCTCTAAGGAAGGATATTCTACCACCTCCCTAGGTAACGCATTCCAGTGTTTCACCACCCTCTTAGTGAAAAAGTTTTTCCTAATATCCAATCTAAACCTCCCCCACTGCAACTTGAGACCATTACTCCTCGTTCTGTCATCTGCTACCATTGAGAACAGTCTAGAGCCATCCTCTTTGGAACCCCCTTTCAGGTAGTTGAAAGCAGCTATCAAATCCCCCCTCATTCTTCTCTTCTGCAGGCTAAACAATCCCAGCTCCCTCAGCCTCTCCTCATAACTCATGTGTTCCAGACCCCTAATCATTTTTGTTGCCCTTCGCTGGACTCTCTCCAATTTATCCACATCCTTCTTGTAGTGTGGGGTCCAAAACTGGACACAGTACTCCAGATGAGGCCTCACCAATGTCGAATAGAGGGGAACGATCACGTCCCTCGATCTGCTCGCTATGCCCCTACTTATACATCCCAAAATGCCATTGGCCTTCTTGGCAACAAGGGCACACTGCTGACTCATATCCAGCTTCTCGTCCACTGTCACCCCTAGGTCCTTTTCCGCAGAACTGCTGCCTAGCCATTCGGTCCCTAGTCTGTAGCTGTGCATTGGGTTCTTCTGTCCTAAGTGCAGGACCCTGCACTTATCCTTATTGAACCTCATCAGATTTCTTTTGGCCCAATCCTCCAATTTGTCTAGGTCCTTCTGTATCCTATCCCTCCCCTCCAGCGTATCTACCACTCCTCCCAGTTTAGTATCATCCGCAAATTTGCTGAGAGTGCAATCCACACCATCCTCCAGATCATTTATGAAGATATTGAACAAAACCGGCCCCAGGACCGACCCTTGGGGCACTCCACTTGATACCGGCTGCCAACTAGACATGGAGCCATTGATCACTACCCGTTGAGCCCGACAATCTAGCCAGCTTTCTACCCACCTTATAGTGCATTCATCCAGCCCATACTTCCTTAACTTGCTGACAAGAATACTGTGGGAGACCGTGTCAAAAGCTTTGCTAAAGTCAAGAAACAATACATCCACTGCTTTCCCTTCATCCACAGAACCAGTAATCTCATCAAAAAAGGCGATTAGATTAGTCAGGCATGACCTTCCCTTGGTGAATCCATGCTGGCTGTTCCTGATCACTTTCCTCTCATGCAAGTGCTTCAGGATTGATTCTTTGAGGACCTGCTCCATGATTTTTCCAGGGACTGAGGTGAGGCTGACTGGCCTGTAGTTCCCAGGATCCTCCTTCTTCCCTTTTTTAAAGATTGGCACTACATTAGCCTTTTTCCAGTCATCCGGGACTTTCCCGGTTCGCCACGAGTTTTCAAAGATAATGGCCAATGGCTCTGCAATCACAGCCGCCAATTCCTTCAGCACTCTCGGATGCAACTTGTCCGGCCCCATGGACTTGTGCACGTCCAGCTTTTCTAAATAGTCCCTAACCACCTCTATCTCCACAGAGGGCTGGCCATCTCTTCCCCATTTTGTGATGCCCAGCGCAGCAGTCTGGGAGCTGACCTTTATCCTGATGACAGGAGGCTGCAGCTAAATGTATCTGGGGACTTCAGCCCAGTTCAAATCATTTTTGTGATCTCCAGGTGTTGGGTTTTCAGTCACTGGACCCCAGAGTTCACAGAGCAGAAGCTTTTCAGAAAACGGAGAACTCTAGTTAACACTAGGTGCCACCAACCACCTGCACTTATTATCCCAGCTTCCAGTGCAGAGGGTGGCTTACACTATGATCTTCCTGTGTTACAGAGAAACCTGGTGTCTGTCAAGCACTCAATATAAGGTGTCTCTCATGGTATCCTCCTAATGCAGTTTGTACAGGACAGTCAGTGTCCAGAAAATGATAAGTGCTGTGACACTGACTGGGCTGGACTGTGATTAGCCACAGAAAGACACCCACCTCCACTCATGTTTACATCATAAGTACCCAGCCTCTGCAGTGAGATCCTGCCCTGCTCCAGCTGAGCCAGGGAACTGCTCACTGGGGAGGGTTGTACAGCCCTGGGCTGCAGGCACAAATCACTGCACTGACCACAGCTGAAGTCCAGAGGCACAATATGCTGTTTTACCAGGGAAGGACGTGGGTACTTGGCATCTTCCCAGCTTCCCCAACACTCGTTACACTGATGCTGAGCCTGAAACATCCCCATTCATGCTGGCCCCAGCAGAGAGATCTGTCCAAGGGTTATATCAGGCAGTGCATGTGAAACCGTGAATGAGTAGCAGAATTGTGGCAGGAAACAAGTGAAAGAAAACACAGGTTTGGTGTTGTGCCATGAGATGAAGTGTTAGAGCCATGTGGGAAATGTCAAGATTTTGGAATAGGACCCAGGAGTCCTGGCTCCCAGCCCCCTGCTTCCCCTCTGATACAGAACAGGATTTTCCCCTTAAGACTTCTGACTACTTTGCTTTTTTTCTTTTTTCTCTTTCCCAGCATAACTTGCTTCACCAGTAGATGAAGGCATCCCCAGGAGCAGCAATGACACCTGATCCCTGCAGTCTAACCTTGCTGAATTTCCCCAGGTCCAAAGCAGGAAATCACTTCATATAACTCCAGCTCGCCTCTCTACATAAAACATTGGAAAGAAAGTGGACTCTAGATATTTGAATCAACACAGAAGAACAGAGACTCAAGTCACTTAAATGAGAAGGTGATCAAAGCAATGACGCAATTCACACAAGAGGGGATTTTTAGCGAAGTTTCTTGGCCCTGGTCTACACTAGGACTTTAGGTCGAATTTAGCAGCGTTAAATCGATGTAAACCTGCACCTGTCCACACGATGAAGCCCTTTTTTTCAACTTAAAGGGCTCTTAAAATCGATTTCCTTACTCCACCCCTGACAAGTGGATTAGCGCTTAAATCGGCCTTGTCGGGTCGAATTTGGGGTACTGTGGACACAATTCGACAGTATTGGCCTCCGGGAGCTATCCCAGAGTGCTCTATTTTGACCACTCTGGACAGCACTCTCAACTCAGATGCACTGGCCAGGTAGACAGGAAAAGAACCGTGAACTTTTGAATCTCATTTCCGGAGACTGTGGGAACTGTGGGATAGCTACCCACAGTGCAACACTCCGGAAGTCGACGCTTGCCTCGGTACTGTGGAAGCACTTTGCTGAGTTAATGCACTTAATTCACTTAGAGCATTTGCTGTGGGGACACACACACTCGAATATATAAAACCGATTTCTAAAAAACCGACTTCTATAAATTCGACCTAATTTCGTAGTGTAGACATACCCTTACAGTTCACCCTCAAGTCCAGCAGGATGATATACAGTTGCTCTATTGGTCCAGTCTTGCAGAAAAGTTTAAGAAGCAGCATGTCACACAGGTGCTGGAACTAGGGATGCTGCTGCATCCCTGGGCTTGAAGTGGATTCCGTTATCTACAGCGTTTACATATGGTTCAAGGGCTCTCAGCAACCCCACTGTAAAAAGTGTTCCAGCACACCTGCTATGACAGTCCGCTTATCTGTACAAGGAGCATCCTATATCAAACATTCACCCAACATTCACCCAACTCTATCTGTGAGAACAGGTTGAGAGGGAAAAGAAAAGGGAATTCCAAGTAATCCAACCCCATCACTGAAATTACAACAGAACGTTTCCCCGTTTTTGTCAAGAATGTTTATGTACAAAAGTTTTTTGTAATCTAATACTGTCTGAACGCTCTCAGCTTCTTCCAAACAACTCTAGCTCCAGGACATTAACACCAGCCACGGGGAGGGTATATTTAGGCACTTTTCACATATTTCTTGTACTGTCACTTGTTACCTCCCTGAGGAAAATCCTCTGCAGGTTCAGACCCTGCCTAGGCAGCATAGAGAGACCAGGGGGAGCACTGCATTGTGATGACCCTGAGATTTTTTATCCATGGTGATATTGTAAATGTTCCTGAAAAGAAACAGACTTTCCTGGGTGTGGATCTCATTGGCTGAGGGTGGTGCCATCCCTTCCATTCCTGCTCCCAGAACTCGTTGCTCATGAGGTTTAATTAGAACCACATGGACACTTTACAAATAAAGAATTTCTTTCATACCTTGTCTTTGTTGTTTGTGATTCCAGAGCCTACACAATCACATCCACCCTGACTTCCACCCCCACAGCTTCCGCCAATGCATTCAGAGCTGGAATCAAAGCATTGCTCCAGGCTCTTTCCCTAGGGTTTGGAAATGGGGGAAGCACCCCCCCACACACCAAGTCGAGGTGGGACCTCAAAGAGACTTAACAGCATGGTGGTGGGAGCCGTAGCTTGGAGCTGAGAGCAAAAGGGTCCCAGCAACTCACTCCATCACACAATGGCTCCTGCCCAGAAGTCAATAGTTTACTGGCTTCTATCTTGTCTGGAGCAAGGTTTCTGTTGTCATCTCCATGTGAGGTTGCCCCCACTCCACATTGAAACTGTCTCTGTAGCTGGCTCTTGAGCAAGGGGAGAATTTCACTCTTCCCAGCAATGGGTCAATCTCATGTTTTTCTTGTGAAAAGAGCTCCAGGAAGACACAAGAACCTGATTGTGAAATGGCACAAGAAAAGGGGACAAATATTGGCACCAGGCACCTCGTTCTCTGCTCCCCCCTCCCCTTTCCCCAGGAGTGAGATGTTAAATACCAGCCTGACTCAGCTCTGGGCATTCAGACCTGCTTCCTGAGACAACACCATGAAGTCACTGGGTGTCTTCTTCCTCGTGGGGGTCCTCACCCTCTGGATGGCGCCGCCATCTAGGTCTGGCACAATCTTACCCGTGCAAAAAATCCCCAGAGGTAAGTGCTGAAAACAGCTTCTGCCAGTTCTACCCAAGGGGCAGCGGGCAGCAGGCTCCTGTCCCATGGGAGGGCAGAGAGCAGGGGACTCTTCAGGCTGTAGTGAGTGGTTCCCTCCCCAGATAGCACTAACAGGGCTGCTCTCTTTACTGACACTCAGCACCCCACATTCTGGGATCACAACTGCTCCTGCATCAGGGAAAGGAAATGTCCTTGTGCCCTGATATGAGCCCAAAGGCCACCTCACTAGCAGGCTCTGTTCAGGATTTTATACCATTCAGATACTGAGCCTGAGAAGGCACAGAGACCACGGAGTGGGGGTCGATGCAGTAGGTGCCGAAGTTGCAGTTTCTCCATGCGGATTTCATTAGATCGGTTCGGTCTGAGCCTGCTCGGCCACTCAGGGTTTCGTTGGGGAAAGGTTCACAGCCAGACACCCCAATGCATTTGGGTGTAGACTCAGTCAAATCCCCACCTGATGTACAGTCAAGTCGACAGAGCTACACTGGTTTGCCCCAGCTAAGGCGCTGGCCCGACTTTTATTGAGCAATGCAGCAAACTCCCGTTTTGAGTGGTCGGGACTTGCAGGCTCTGAGGAGTTGCACCCAGAGCAGCAAAGGCCATTCTTGTGAGAAAGAGCAGACGAGCTCCCTCCAGGCTGGGAATTAAACGTGGAATTAAACACCACGGCTGGGTGGCAGAGGTCTGGAATTACAGTGTCCGGAGGATTTGCCTAGAGACCTGCCTGGGTCCTTTCCCTCCCTAATTCTCATTTCCAGATAGTGAGGCTTCAGTCACTCACGCCTCAGCAACAGGGGGCCGATTCCCCCTGCCATGCCCCTTTTCTAGCCTCCTGCTCCTTCTGTCCATGTCGACATGGCAGCATTTTACACCTGCCTTGCAGAGCTGTGAATGACACATGGGGTGCCCAGCAGGAAAGGATTAGGCCCAGGATAATTCTGTAGAGGCCTTTCAATCGACAGCAGAATTTCACAGAGTCCAGACTGGTCCTACCGCAGTCTGCACTCTGCGAGATAGCAGGTGCCTCTCACTGGAGCTCAGCATGCTGCCCGGCATTACAAGGTGGTGTTTATACCATGCATGTCTTTCTTGCAGTGAAACCAGGGACCTGCCCAGTGGTTCCTTTCAGGTGCCACATGTTGAATCCCCCTAATCGTTGTCTGTCAGACAGCCAGTGTCCGGGGCCAGAGAAGTGCTGTGATACCGGCTGTGGATTGGGCTGTGTTCTAACTCAGCAAGGTACCTGCCTCATTGTTTATAGCCTGTGGGTCTGGTTCCCCAGGGAGCTCTCCCCCTGTCCCTGAGCTGAGCCGGGGACAGTATTTCAGCCTTTAGCAGGCAGAGATCTTCCTGCCAGGGACTTAGTATGATACAGTGAAACCTAGGACCTGCCCAGTGATCGAGAAGACCTGTCTCAGGGTAGTTCCTCCTAATGAGTGTGTGATTAGGCTCCTGAGTGCCCCAGCACTACAAAGTGCTGCATGTCCACCTGTACAAAGGCTTGCCTTCCGCCCAACCAAGGAACCCCGCTGGGCCAGTATTTCCAAACTTATCACCTTGCTTTGCAGTGAGATCATCACTCCCTGTCCTAGCTCATCGGGGGCGGGGACGGCAGGAGTGTGCTGTGTGACCCAAGCAGGCATCTCCCACCTCCCTCACTTTGACAGGTGCCACTCATTTTAGTCCCAATGGTACCTGCCTTTCCCACAAACGTGGCATCCCTGCTCCTTGTTGTTGAAAGTTATTTGCAATGAGGAGTGATGGCACGGGGGTTACAGAGAGAGTCACTGGCATTAAGGGGATGAATCCCATAGAACTGTAGCTGTCCTGCAGGAATCATTTGCATCTGTCCATGCTTTTAGGTCTTGGCAAGATGAGAGATACAAGGGAATTGGAGCTGAGCACTCAGCAGGCAGAGATCCGTGCCTGGGGCCTGGCTATTATCCTGTTATAGAAAGAAAAGGAGTACTTGTGGCACCTTAGAGACTAACCAATTTATTTGAGCATAAGCTTTTGTGAGCTACAGCTCACTTCATCAGATGCATACTGTCCACAGTATGCATCCGATGACAGTATGCATCCGATGAAATGAGCTGTAGCTCACGAAAGCTTATGCTCAAATAAATTGGTTAGTCTCTAAGGTGCCACAAGTACTCCTTTTCTTTTTGCGAATACAGACTAACACGGCTGCTACTCTGAAACCTGTTATAGAAGTTTGTTTATCCTGCCATCTCCTCTCTTGCAGCCAAACCTGGGACTTGCCCAGTGGTTACTGCACAGTGTCGTATAATAAATCCTCCCAGCCTTTGTGATCATGACCACCAATGTCCTGGCCCAAAGAAATGCTGTGAAACTAGCTGTGGGAGAGATTGCATCCTGATTCAGAGAGGTACTGGTCTCAGTGTAACTTGGTCACCTTTATCCTGATGACAGGAGGCTGCAGGTAACTGTATCTGGCGACCTCAGCCCAGTTCAATCATTTTTGTGATCTCCAGGTGTTGGGTTTTCAGTTACTGGACCCCAGAGTTCACAGATCACTTGGGCAGAAGCTTCTCAGATAATGGAGAACTCTAGTGGGCCTCCTCTTCCTCTGGGCCAAGCTGCCACCAGTGTCTGGTATTATGTCCCCTCTGTGATTGGGTGACCATACATCCCATTTTGTCTGGGACAGTCCCCTTTTTAAGCCCGGATTTCCAAACATATTTGGCAAAACTTGGAATTTGTCCAGTTTGCTTTTGACAGCTGATGATCAGCTTTTTCCAAACAAGTCAGGTGTGCCTCCCTGGGGGGGCGTGGAGGAACATTCATGGGGGGTGGGGGGAAGGTGGGAAGCCCCAGGGCCAGTCCTAGGGGAGGGGAAACAGGATGGTCACCATAGGTGCTGTACCTAAGTGCCATTCCGCTTTTTTTATTTTTTTGGCTCTGCTGGTCGGCTGCAGTAGGCGGGCACGTTGGGTGAGCTGGGGGATGGGAAATGCTGAAAGCATTTTCTGCTCTGGCCTGAAAAATGGCTAGGGCCACTGCTGGGGAGCCCTATTGCTTGGGACAATTAAAGCAAGTCTGGACACATCTCTGGTCAATGTAGAGTAAGGAACAATCCTGCCCTGCCCGAGGGGTCTGGGTTAGAAGGGACCCTACAGGGATTTTCTCTCTCTAGGATTCTGAACCTTTTCCTGTAGTAGATACAGGTAAGTACTGACAGCTTCTGCCCCAGCCAGCAGCCCAGGTTCCCAGACTCACTGTTCCAATGAAGGACAGAGAGCACGGATGCGCACACAGGTAGCTCAGCTGGTTGTAGGGCAGGTCCCAGTTCTTACAGTCCCTCCAGGGCAGCAGCCAGAGAGGCCCCACTCAGTGAGCTGCAGTGAAAGGGCTGCTCCCTTTAGTCACCTCTTTGACTTTCGCAAAAAGAAAAGGAGGACTTGTGGCACCTTAGAGACTAACCAATTTATTTGAGCATGAGCTTTCGTGAGCTCATGCTCAAATAAATTGGTTAGTCTCTAAGGTGCCACAAGTCCTCCTTTTCTTTTTGCGAATACAGACTAACACGGCTGTTACTCTGAAACCTCTCTTTGACTTTGTGATTCCCACAGGGTGGAGCATGACCTGTCAATCAAACAAAAGAAGCATGTGAGACAGAATTTAACCCCTTCAAGGTGGCAGTCATGTTGGGTTTAGAAAGAAAATGCCCCTGGCAGCTGGATCTGGGAGCTCTGGCCCCAGGGCATCAGCCTGGGAAATGCACCTAGACAGCAGAGTGGAAGCAGGGGTTGTTCACTAGTCATATTGCATTTCTCTTCAATGGACAATGGCATTTCTCTTCAACAGCTTGTGGAGGTCTGTTTCACCTCCAAAAGCTGTTAACAAGCCTGTGGAGAATGCAGAGGCAAATACAACTACAGATAGCTGAAGCACAGATTCTGAAACTATGCCCCCCTCACCCCAGCTACTTGCAGCATAACATACACTGCAGCCTGCAATAACCACAAGGCCTCTGAATTATTATTATTTCAATAGGTATTTTGGGAGACCTTTTGTGCTGGGTGCTGCACAGATTTCATTGTCCCTGTCCCAAGTAGCTTACAGCTGGCATGCTTTGCTATAAGATTTGTTTATGCAGCGATCTTCTCTTACAGGGAAACCTGACACCTGTCCATTCGTCATCTTTAAGTGCGCTATGTACAATCCCCCAGATCGCTGCCAGTCTGACCGCCAGTGTCCAAGATTCAAGAAGTGCTGTGAGACTTTCTGCGGGAAGGACTGTGTTTATCCTAAGGGATATGGTAAAGGTACCAGCCTGATCCTCTCTTTGGGCTCTGGACTGAGATCACTTGCTGCTCCAGCTGAGCTGCTGGGCGCCTATGGGAAAGGGCATTTCAACCCAAGGCTTCCAGCCGAGATCCGCTCTGATCAGATATACCTCCAGAGGTCTCACCATTCTGGTTGGACTAGGGAACAGGCTGGTTGCTTGACACCTTCCTACACGCCTTTGTCTTAATATGACTTTGTGGTGTCACAAGACAATAAAAAGTTGGGTCCACCTGGGAAACAGGCAGAGGTGATCTGGAGGGATTCCATCTGAGAAGCTGCTCTGGGAAATCTGTGGGATGGTGTGTCTGGGGCCAGAAAAGGGAAGGGCAACATTATCGATTGGGTTTGTGGTCCAACGCCCATTCTATCTTTAGATAACACCTCCCCTTGCCTACCCACAAGCCTCATCCAGGATCTGGAGAGGACAATGATATTGTGTGTTTTGCTCTTTACAGAAGAGTCACAAAATGAATGCACAACATGGGTACAATGAGGGCCAATAACTGTGTTTGCTAATGACACACGGTGTGCCAGGCCTAGCTATATACAACCATGGCAGCTCTGGCAGGGTTCTGGGGGCTTCTCAAACATACATGCGACTAAAGGGCTTGCAAACAATTTAAAGGAAATACTATCCAATTCCTGTCGACTACAAATGGAAGAGCCAGGGATATGATACCAGGACGCTCCCTTGGGCTGGGAATGGGGGATTAATGCTCTCTCATCCCTGCTCCATGGAGATAGGAACAGGGTCATAAGGGGCTGCATGGGGAGATACGAATATGGAGAGCTTACTCTGCCAAACAAGTTAGCTTGGGATTCAATGCCATCCACAGGGCAGGAAGTTTGATCACTCCTCCCCACATCCATGGGGTAACTAGGCTTTGGGGATACTGTGCCCCTTCTTGGGGTCCACTGATTTGGCAGGTGGAAATCTCCCACTCCCTCCCCTGTATCCCAGGCTGGGACAAGGCCATGGCAGTTGCAGGGCTGGGCTGGATCAAACTCGGTCATGTTCGTGGGAGCTGGGGCCAAACCAGAGGCTGGGTTTGCACAGCCCAGAATTTCCTGTTGAACCCACTGATCATTTTCCCTTTCTCCAGCATAACTTCCTGCATCCCGAGGGTGTTCCCAGCAGCAGTCGTGACACCAGCTTGATGTGCCTGGCCTCGCTGGGGTCCCACAGACCAGCCCTAGGAAATCAGCTTGCACAATGCCTGCACAGTGCCTGCATTCTTAATCCGTCTCATCTTTAGCGCCAACCACGCCACCTGTCAGGGGAGCTGCCGTGGAATTTCAGACCCTGCCCACCTAGCACAGAGAAGACTGGGCTGAGGCCTCATCCCATGAGGGACCTGAGGAGTGTGATTCAGTGGCTCTTTTCCTGCGGTCAAGGGGAAGCTTTGGGCGGGGCTGGGGGTCTCTTTCTTCCTGCCCTGACTCTGTATAATTTGGTGTCCCTGGCACCTTGTGCACTGTAACAAATAAAGAAACTTGTTCACGGAGCAGTTTGTAACCTGTGATTCTAACCACTCCATCTCCTCCTCCATCTGCAGGTTCCTCCCCTCACTGCTTCTGCCCCTCCTGTCTCATTGGTCAGGCACATCTGGATGTGGCCCAAACTCTTCTCCCTGGTTCCTTGATGGGGGCTCAGATGTTGCCCGGCTGTGTGTGTGAGAGGAGGATTCTACCCCTGATGCCACTTCTCAGGCCCCCTTCCCCCTCCAGTGAGCTCAGAGCCAGGATCCTAGCACTGGTCCAGAGTCTTTCCCCAGGGAGCAGCCCCTGTTGGTTTGGGACGTTGATCTGTCTCTTTCTAAGAAAACCTTTGGGACCCTTAAAACAAGGCGAAAAGGCTCTGAGCCACAGCAGCGTCATGACCCCTCCCCCCCCCCCGAGCATCTTTCCAACACAGGTCAAGGGGAGCTGCCCCTCACAGGGTGGGCTAGAAGCCACTTCACTAATGAACTGAGTCCCCATTCCAGAGCCTTGGAGTCATGCACTGACGCTGGGTTTGGCAGATGTGCCACTGAGCTCTCAGGGCTGCCCATCCTGCCCTGCGCCACCATAGCCCTCAAAACTGCCAGCCTCAAAACCCTACCTTGGCACTGCCAGCCCACTAGTGCCGATGAGTCCGAGAACTGTCTATTCAGAATGAGCTAGGATCATCCCAGATGCCAGCTGTCTCCCTGACTGCAGGGGTACAAGAAGCCATAACAGGGGATTATCTGTATTGACCCATCAAATCTTTGTCAGGACTCCAGGCAGCAAGGGGAGGTGAAGCTTCTAGGTGGCAGGTCTCCAGGGAAAGCAGAGGGACAGGAAGCGGAGTCTGAGGGATAACATGCTTTCCCTGGCCTAACAGAGTTCCTGGATCAGTGATGGAAGAAAGTAGTTACTGTTGTCACAAGAGACATGGGAGTGGGGCTCTAGATGTTACTTGGGAGCCCTGCAGTCCAGCTGCTTCCCAATAAAGCATGCAGAAATGTTAACAGGCCACTCTACCTTGAATAGTCCCTTACAATATGTGCTAACAACTTATGCTAAACAATCTGTTCCACCTTGCATTTTGCTGCGACTCTGGGAGTTCCTTTCCCAGACCAGAAGAAGAGCTCTGTGTAGCTTGAAAGCTTGTTTCTCTCACCAACAGAAATGGGTCCAATCAAAGATACCACCTCGCCCACCTTCTCTCCCACATAAAGCAGATATTTCAGCTCCATCCTGCCCTCTTGATGCTGGCAGTGGATTCTGTTGTTTATGATTCTTGTAACAGCCCCAAATAATACTGCTTAGATGGAGCCGTTCAGTGAACAGGAGGCTCTGGGCTCTTTCGGTTGTTCCATTTCAGCAGCTGTATTTCGTTGCATGAATAATGCCCAGATGTGTTCCCTGCTGGTGCTGTACTGGTAACTGCCTGTCAGAGGGCCCCTAGAACCAGAGATCCAGCGTGGTCCCCTTTTCACATTCCAAAGCTCTCCATGGCATATGCAGCCACTTTCTAAAAAAAGCTCAGGAAGCTGATTTCCACCCAGCACCCAGAAAGGCAGCCTCATTAGAGGTTCCTGCATCCACTGATGCTTGTGAGTTTCCTTCCTATTTGTCTCTGCTACGATTGTTAGGCCAGACTCATTCCTACTCTAGCACAAAGAGCAGCACCACTAATGTGCTGGTTGCAATGGACGAGCAGGGATCTGGGGATTTGGTGCGCAGGGCTCCCACCCCAGAGAAGATCCCATCAGGCGTCAGAGGCTAATGAGCTCACAGGGAGGAGCACAAACTGCAGCAGAGAGATGTATCCCAGCTGGCTGCCCCAGCAGATAGCAGAGCCTACCGTTAAGAGGTTGCAGGTCCCCAGACATCTTCTGGAGAAGGGTGGACTCTGCTTAGGGAAGGAGCAATGTGACTAATCTTGCTGGGTTTATATAAATCTGGCATGCTCTCCTGGGACTAGTTCTGTCGCCCCTTTGGCCAAGCAGTAACCGAATTGAGGGCCTGACAAGGTGGTTTCTGTTTAGATTTGAAATTGATGACCTAGATTTGGGGTATTTTCTTTGTGTCATTTCTTTACTTACAAAATGTACACAAAGCCCTAATGCCCTGATCTGTGATAAGAAGTGCATGAGTGCAGGCAGCCCTCTTTTGGACAAATCCCAGGTACAGCACCCTAGAGTCTATTGCACAAAACATGAAATTGACACATTGATGGGAGGTGAGGAATTACCGCATTGCACAAGAGCCACTAGTAAAAACAACATGATCTGGGTGTGGGGAGAGGAGAGGGCAAACCTTACCCTGAGATGATGCTGGAGAGACTCCTCCATGAAAGTCTTGTTCAAGACAAGATGGAAGCCACCTAATTATTGACTTGTGGGAAGAGATCCTTGTATTATGAGTAGGGGCTAGCCCCACGGCCCTGAGCTCTGACCCAAGAATGAGCTGTTTTCAGACTCTGCCTCTCTCCAGGGGCCTCAAAGCAGACCACACCCCATGCCGCCGTCCCACTGCTTAACACACAGCCTTCTTCCAGCCACTGGGTTCACACCCTAGGAAAACCCATAGCTCTATAAGCTCCTTTTGAACCACATGGACTTCCAGCCTCAGGCTGCCCCTCCTTTGTGTGCAGCTGATTTGCACTAACAGAAGGGCCTCAGCTATGCCCACTTGTGGGCATGAGGGCAAAGGCTTTCACACACCCACTCTCCTGAGGTCTGGGTCACCTTTGTATCCACAACCCAAAAGGACAAGCCACGAACGCCTCTTTCGTAACAGCCTCAGGTCAGGCTGGAGCTCTCAGGTCCATGCAAACCCAAAGCTCCAAGGGAAGCTGAAGGATGGTGAGACCCCCGTGAGCTGAGAGCAGTGGGGTTAACACGGCCTACCCATAATACAAGGCTCTCTTCCCACAAGTCAGTAGTTCAGTGGCTGCCATCTTGTCCTGAACTGTGTTTCTGCAGGGGCAGCTCTCCTACAGCCCCTTAGGGTGAGTTTGCTCCCCAGGCGAGGCTGGTTTTACTGGTGACTCTTGTGCAATGGGAGAATTCCCCACTCCCCACCCAGGTGTCAATGTTATGGGTTTTCTCGTGCAGAAAGCACCGGGGGGACACATGAACCGGCTTGTGAAACAGAACAAGGAAATGACAGCATGGGGGCATGAGCACAGGTCCTTCCCTCTCCTGACCCAGCTCCTCCTGAATGAGAGCTTAAATCTAGCCTGGCTCCTGACCACAACAGGAAGTCAGTGGGTGTATTCCTCCTTGGGGGGCTCCTCAGCCTCTGGGCTGAGCTGCTGCTAGCGTCTGGTACAATCTCACTGCTTAGAGCTTGTCTACATGGGAAACTTTGGTTAAACTGATATAGTTATACAGCTGTGGTCCTGTCTATAGCCCGACTCCTACCAGAGTCGGACACAGGGTCCGAAGGGGCTGCATGGGGAAAACACTAGAATGTAGCTGCACGTTTGAGTCAGTTCCCTCTGGATTTAGTGCCACCCCCAGGGCAGGCTCTTCTCTCCTCTCACAGTGGTTACAGTGCCATCTTTCCCTCCTCCCCAGGATTACTCAGCTTTGGGGGTGCTGCACTCCATCTTGGGCTTTGGGGATTTGGCAGGTGGAAATCTCCCACTCTGTATCCCAGGCTGGGATGAGGCCATGGCAGCTGCTGAGCCAGCCTGGGGGGTGTTGGTTGGGGCTGTACCAGGGGGCTGGGATTGTACAAAGCAGGATTTTCTCTTGGCCCCTCAGATCAATTTCCCTTTCTCCAGCATAACTTCCTGCTGAGGATGGGCTGAGGGTGTCCCCAGGAACAGCCATGACACCAGCTCAAGGAGCTTGGCCTTGCTGGGAGTCCATGGGTGCAGGATGATTTCTGAGGGCTGACAACACCAGCTCAGGTTTCAGAGTAACAGCCGTGTTAGTCTGTATTCGCAAAAAGAAAAGGAGGACTTGTGGCACCTTAGAGACTAACCAATTTATTTGAGCATGAGCTTTCATGAGCTACAGCTCACTTCATCGGATGCATACTGTGGAAACTGCAGCAGACTTTATATACACACAGAGATCATGAAACAATACCTCCTCCCACCCCACTGTCCTGCTGGTAATAGCTTATCTAAAGTGATCATCAAGTTGGGCCATTTCCAGCACAAATCCAGGTTTTCTCACCCTCCACCCCCCCACACACACAAACTCACTCTCCTGCTGGTAATAGCCCATCCAAAGTGACAACTCTCTACACAATGTGCATGATAATCAAGGTGGGCCATTTCCTGCACAAATCCAGGTTCTCTCACCCCCTCACACGCTGATCTAGGCTTCCTAATGGGCATGGGGAGAGGGTGACAGACATTTTGGAGGAGCTGAGGGTGGGGCGGTTCTCTGATCTGCGGCCTTGTGGGGGCCATTTCACACTTTCCACCTCCCTCCTTTAGCATCAGTCACACACACTATCTTTCCGGGGTATTGCCTGTAGGGTCGGACCCTGCCCAGGCAGCTCAGAGGGAACAGGAAGGCCTCCTGCTGGGCTGCTCTTTAGCAGTCTGATTTGCTCAGGGATCAGGGGAACTCTTTAGGTGGCGCTGGGGGTGGGTGGGGAAGGGAAGAGGGGCTCTTTATTCCTTTTCTCTCTCACGCTGTGTAATGGGGCTTGGCTGGGGCTTTGGCCATTGTAGCAAATAAAGATACTGGCTCATGCAGCAGCTTTGTGGGTCAGGTGATTTGTGCCTGTTTTTGTTTGCAGGTTCCTCCCCACTCGGCTTCCCAGACTCTCTTCCCTTCCACCGCTCCCTCCCACCTTGAGCATCAGGCAGATCCTGACAGCGCACTGCCAGCTGGGAATGGTGTGACCGAAAAATCTCCAGTAGTTCCCAATTCTCCCTGCTGGGAGCTCTCTTGCCTCCTGGGGAGGAATTCTCCAACTGCTGCTTCGTCTCAGCCCCCAGTGAGCTCATGATCCACAACAGACTATGGTTTTGCACTCTTTCACTAGGGTTTCAGATGGGGCAGCCTGC